CACATTTGCAATTTCTTATTAATTCATTCTACTAACATCTCTGCTTCATCTTCTTCACTACAGGTGCTATGTTCTCTTCTATGTGAACCTCTTACCCTGGCCACATGAACCAACTGCCCTTCACCACAGCTTTTTGGACCAGAGTGTTCCATCCTCCAAGTTGATCTATATTCTTTTCAGTGGCTCAGGAGGTGGCCTGGCAAAAAGCATAGCAAACGGAATATACCATCTATATTCGATTTCCTAAATTACTTAGATCCTTTTTCTTTAGAAAGTTGAATGTGATACATAAAGAGAAAGTATGTAATTGGTAGCTAAATGGACACCAATTACATAGAAGAAAAACAGCAAAGGCCATGAAGTAGCCTAAGACATGAGGAAGCAGAAGCTATGCATATAGAATTAGGAATGAGGTGATTGGTTAGCAGAAGCAGGAGAAAATTTAAGCAGAGATAAAGAGCAGATGTGTCTTGGTAATACTTAAGTAACTAGAGACTGGAGAAGAAAGCAAGCAAATACATCTGCTGCTGAGAATATTGGAGCCATTATGAATGCAAAGGGCTTTTAAATTCCCAGACTGCACTCTAGGCTTTGTTTTATAATCCCATAGGGTGTGGCTTTGTGAAATCTTTTTCCTCTGTTTTCTCATAGATTATTTCTTTGAACCCCTACTGCTAAGAGACTCTAGTACACCACATTAAGGAGTTTGAACTTTAATATGAAAATAATAGGAAGTCATAAAAGACATTCATATTTTTCATTTTAGAAAGAAGACTCTGGGACCAGTGTGAAAAATAATTGTGGAAAGTAAGTTGAAAATGGATTTAGAGGTAGTGATTATACTTTGAAAACTGTTGTTTGAAACTGGTGAGAGATGATGGTGGCCTGAACCAAGCTAGTGAGAATGGAGAAAAGTGGATGAATGAACAGAATTTTGTTCCCCTTATATGCAGTGGATGAGGAACCAGAAAAGTCAACATTGATTCTTAGTTTCCTGGCCTGGGCAACCAATGGATGGTGGTGTCTTTCATTGGGAAAGATGATGTATAAAGAGGACCAGCTCCTTTTTGAGGAAGTGTTAGGTACCAATGAGACTTCCAGGTAAAGATGTACAGTAGGCAATGTTTGAATTTCACTTAAGAGCTCTGGAGTTATAACTGTGTATAAGAGTTGATATCATGATTTTCAGAGATATCTGGGCAGCAGTTTCTTGTTTTAGTCCCACAGCCCTAAATTCAGGAACATACTTGAACTAAGCTATGTTAGCATAGGGAAACTGAGAATAAAGGATTTATTCATATCTGAATATCCTCTGTACTGCAAGATGGATTTCATGCTGTGCATTGTATGCCATGAGATTAATGAGGTACTGTGCCTCTTAGCTGATATTGCATCTAAGTGGTGTCTCTGTTGTATTTTGGTTAATCTGAACATTCTATTGGTATTTGTCAATCTGAAGGTTATACAGGGTGATATCAATAGATTGGTAGTAATCGAGCCACTGGTGTGCATAAAATTTCTCTGGGGGAATAAATTAAGAAGAAAAGAAAGCATAGAATTCTAAGAAGTACTAATATCTAAGTCAGGGGTGGGGAACCTTTTTTCTGCCATGGGCCATGTGGATATTCATAACATCATTCTTGGCCAAACGAAATTATTCACTTAAAAATTTGCCTGTTATATTTGGTCAAATATTTAATTAATTCACCCCATATTGCCAGGCAGGGCCAGACATTTCCCACCCCTGATTTAAGGAGTAGGTGGACGAGAGAAAAGTCCAAGAGGAGAATAAATGAATGATGGTAAAAACTGAGGGATTGAATAACTAGAATGGTAGATTGAGTAATACTAGTATTTGTATTTCATCTCTAAACTGAGATAGATATTTCAGAATAGATGACTTTTCTTGTTACACATGAATATATGCACACGATTAAATAGGTGAATTTTCTAAAAGATTTATAACAAAGGCTCAGAAAAAGATGGGTTTCCTAATTTTCAACTAAAATTTGCTGATAATTAGTCTACTAGAAATTTATAAAAGACAGAGTGAGTAATGATTGCAAGGAGTTCTCTTTTTCTACTGCCTATTTAAAACATTTACTCAATACTTACTATGTGCCAGGCCTTGTGCTTTATCAGCAATATCTCCTTTAGATATTAGAAAGACCTCATGAGGAAAGCACTTGTATTTTCTTCTTTTCCTGATGTGAAAAAAACTGAAGGTTAGAGAGAGGAAGGGACTAAGTCCTGTGAGGACTAAGATTCAAACTGAGGGTTTTTTATTTCAGAGCCGAAGGTTTGACTACTGCTTGATAATACTATGAAAGCATTACTTATGCTAATAAAAGATTAAGTTTATCAGGCATTTATTAATGTAATTTTCAATGAAGGTAAATTTTGTAGTTACAGAAAACCACTTTACACTCATACCAACACTTAGAGGTGTGCTACAATTTTGAAAGTACATCTTGTAGTACTTAAGAACAATATGTATTTGAATTTTGGTTTTGCCATTAAAAGAGAAATAATTCTGTCTTTCAGAATGCTAACTCCTGAATTTATTTCATATCTTAACTTATAGAACCAAATTTTTTTACCTCTCTAATGTGCTAGGTTTTGGCATAAAATTATGTATTGGGGCAAGACCATCTATCTAGGCATATATGTAGAAAACTATTTTTTTTTAATTTATAGAATACTAGATATGGGTAATAGTTGCACTTTAAGAAAAGATTGTCTTTTCAAATCCTTACAAGTATTGTTTTTAATTAATGAATTCCAATTGCATTTCCTCAACAGAGATGTAAAAGACTCTAAGAAAGTTGATTTTGAGTCAATCATGCCGAAGTTATTAATAATAATAAAAAATAGCCCAATTGAGTGTTGACCTGTGAACCAGGAGGTCACGATTCGATTCCCTATCAGTGCACATGCCTGGGTTGCAGGCTCCATCTCAGTACCTGCGGGAGGTAGCTGATCAATGATTCTCTGTCAACACTGATGTTTCTATCTATCTCTCTCGGTCTCCCTTCCTCTCTGAGACCAATAAAAATATATTAAATAAAACTAAATTTCAAAAGAAAAATTAGGGCAGGAACTTAATCCTAGAATACTGGGCCAATTATGATAAGATCATTTTTAAAAGCTTCTTAAGGTCTCAATAATAATATTTGCTACATATTTCACCTAAGCTTATTTTTTTTGTTAAATTCACAGTTTTTAATACATAAACTTTATACCATAGGAGCTGTCAAAGTTCCTAGAAGTTGTGTAATTCCCATGAATTATCCAAATTACTATTCTAGAAGTTAGAACAGTACGTCATCCTACTCATCCTCATCTGCCACCTTCATCCATCCTTGTTAGCGTCTCAGAATAATAAAAAAAGAAAATTATTTAGTTTATAAAGTAATGTGGTACAAATCTTTATTTTACAGCCAACCATTGCCACCTGCCACCCACTGACACCCAAGTTCTGTAAACCTTCAGTTGTCTGAAGGTGTCTATTTCTTCATCTCCTACCTCTACCCTGGTCCAGGTTTTCACTCTACTTCTCTCTGCTTCCTATTCAGTAACTGTAAAATGCCTGGAAAACCACTGTACACTCATCCTGACCGGAATCTTTGGAGAAGCTTAGATGATTTTTAAAAAATATATATTTTGTTGATTTTCCCCTACTAGGTATGTGCTGGCAAGCAAGGTACATGTCTTTGAGTCCGCAGGCCAACGCTCTCTTCACTGAGCCAAACCGGTTAGGGCTCACATGACTTTTATCTTTATTTTGCCTCACGTGTATTTGGCACTGGAGACCTAAGGAAGGCGTTTACATCGGTTCCTTATTTGTAGGATACTCATTCATGCAACAGCTATTTATTGATCATCTGCTTTGTGCCAAGCACTGTCCTAAGCACTCGAAATATACAGCAGGGAACAAAACGGAGGGGGAGCGGGGATCCCAGCGCTTCTGCAACTTCCATGTTAGTGGGGAGGCGGACAGGAGGTGAAAGGAGAGCGGGAGGTCGTGTAGCGCCAGGTCGGTGAACCTAGGAATTTTGGTTTTTACTTGGGTTGGAATGGGAAGCCGGCGGAGGGTCTGCCAGTCTTATCTGTCATTTTACAAACGGCAGAAGTAAATGGCTACTTCTCAGTAAGTGCACCCCTACGGAGGAACTGCAACTTAGGTGCTCCAGGGGGTAAAACATGAAAAGGAGGTAGGCGTTAACGTGGGGACCCTCGCTCAGGGATGCGAGAGAGCAGACATGAAGAGGGGAACGACAAATGAAGATGAATCCCAAAGGAAGCAAACTTGTTTACTACGAAATACGCAAAAAAAAAAAAAAAAAAAAAAAAAAAAAGATACGCCAAGGAATGGCTGGTGCTCAATTCAGACTCTTGTCCCCGAAAAGGAAGCAAATCTAGGTGGGGCAAGAGGAACGCTAAAACCCACTCGGACGCTAGTGTCCGGGCCCGGAACCGAACTTGCCCCGAGCGTGGCCACGCCCCTGGCTACGCCCCATCCCGCTGCTCCCCGCCCGGGTTGGCTGCGGCGGGGGCGGTGGCCACGGCCCGGAAGTGCTGCTGACGTGTCCCCCGCCGCGCTCGGAATTGTGGGCCACTCGGCTAATGGCGTCGGCGAAACTGTGGGGTCTGGGGAGCCGGCGCTGAGGCTAGTGACGACCGGTGTGGCTGGGCCCCGCGGCAGCGGCAGGGACCTGCCCGCCTAGAGGGCGCCTCGGCCGGAGCCGGCGGGGCCTAGCGGGGCGGGCGACGGCAGAGGCAGCGCGGAGAGGAGCCGGGGGAGTGGCGAGGAGGCTGCCGGCGGCGCTCGGGCTGGCGCCGGCGGGCAGTCCAGGCCCAGCGGAGTCCCCGCGGAGCCCCGGAGGCGGGCTGCGGGAGGGCCGGCGGGGCCTGCGGGGAGTCGCCTGTGGCCCCCGGGAGCTGACAGTGCCGGAGTCCGTTTGCGCCGCTCGGGAATTGGCTCGGAAACTGGGTGGATCATGTCCAGCACCAACAGCCCCGAAGCGGTCAAGAAGCTGCTGGAGAACATGCAGAGCGACCTGCGGGCCCTGTCGCTGGAGTGCAAGAAGAAGTTCCCCCCGGTCAAGGAGGTGAGCTGCGGGCGGCGTGGGGAGGCGGCGGGGAGCCTGGCCGTCCCTCTCGGACCCGGTCCTTCCCGGCCATCATCGTGCAGCCCCGTCTGGCTTTCATTTGGCCTTTTCCCGTCCGGTCCGGTGGGTGGTTCCACCAACGCTTGTAATCGTCTTCCTTGGGAGGGGTCTGAGGGAGGCACTTTGATTTCCTCCGCTCCCCTGGGCTCGGGGAGTGAGGAGTGAAGTGCGCGGTGGGAGCCGGTTCAGCCCTTTCTGGCCTCGCCTGGTCCAAACTCGGGAAAGCCAAGCCAGAGTTGGAAAACATTTTTTTTTTCCCCCTCATTTTTTTTTTTTTTTAACGTAAGGTATTATATGTTTACATACCTTACCAGTCCCCACCCTACCCCCACTCCCACACATGTCCTCCCTCCCCAGAGTTTTTCGTCCATTGGTTATGCTTATATGCATGCATGCATACAAGTCCTTAGGTTGCAGAGTTGAAAACATTTGTTTGTTGCTTCTGAAAGCTCATGCTCATCGTGTGGTGAAATCTATGCTCCTCACCTTTCACGTATATATCCCTCCATTGGAAGTGGCCTTTCTGGTCACGTTGTCATGCAGCTTCACTCTGTATCCATTCATTGCATTGTCCAGATACACAACTAACTTAGGACATGTATTCAGGATCCACAGTTACCATGTTCATAAGCCTTGTTATGAGCAACACTAAAGTGGGAAGTTTGTGCTAGGAATACTTCTTTTTTGTTGGTTTGTTTAAAGTATTAGGAATACATCTTAACCTCTCTGAACTTCAGTTTTATTTCAGATGTAAAATAGGGTTAAAGAGTAGATTGATTAGATAACGATAGGAAAGTTGTCAGAGCAAAAAAGGGTATTATTAATGAGGCTCATGTTATTAAATACATCTATACAAACTAAAGTCTCTAATTGAAATTTTTAACATTTATTCAGTATTGGCTCTTTCTCTTAAGGTGCCATTTAATTTCTCTTAAACTTTTTTTTTTTTTTTTAAACGCTGCTTAATTTATTTCCTCATTTCTGGAATAAGATATTTCAGTGATATTTTTGTCAAAGCAATTATTTTATTTTTATTTAATGTAGTATAGTATATCTGCAGTTTCATTTACTAAGTGCCCTAAAAGTTCACCAAGGAATTTTCACAATTGTTTAAGTGTATTGCCTTTATTATTGTAAAGATTCTGTAATTAGAACTTAACCAAAAAAAAACTTTAGGTTTTAGGTTTCCAAGGAACCTTAACTTGTCTGCAAGTTCTTTGGTCTCATCTTTAACAAACATCATCTAGTATGTCTTTAATAAAGTGAGCAAATATTATTCAATGTTGGAAATCAGATGTACCACTTTTGGAAAGATGAACATCATTATGATATGTTTTATTTCACATATTAAAAAAATTATTTTGATATTGCCTTTTATTTTTTCTATATCATCTGTTGAAAGTAATAACTAATTTTTAAAAATTAGGCTGTTCCTATTATAAAAGAAATGCTCTTAAATGTCAAATCCTAGTTTATAATTTTAACAATAATTTAAGAACTGACTTTATAAATTATGTAAAAACTGGAGTGAGGAACGAAGTTTGAGGTGGGAGCCGATTCAGCCCTTTCTGAAAACTGTGATTCTTCTGAGAATTCAGTTGCCAGTTATTCAATTATTTCTATTGTAAAAGGCATTCAGAGTTCCAAACAGGTAACTTACAAAGTTCTAAAACTCAATTCATTTCTCATCTAGGAACTTTCAGTATAGTTCATTAGCTTTTTTACTTGAACACTGGCTAAAGAGATATTTAGTAATTGCACCTTGTCTTTGAGGTAATGGCAAAAGTAAATGTGATTATCGCGATACATAATTGTATACATAGTGCATACTCTGTAAGAATTTGTTGAATGTAAGAACTTTGATTCCATAACTAATGATACTTCTAATATACTTAAGGCCCTCCTTTAGAAATTGAAAAATGACTGTTTCACAAGTTTAAAACGAGAATGAAGTAATTAGCCTAATAGTGATGAATTTTTAGGAGGTAGGCTTGACTTTCAGTATATATTTTGGTTGAATTAAAAGTTTCCTGTAATTTAATACCAATGCCAAATTTTGGCTTTTGTTCTCTCTCTCTTTAAAAAAATATATTTTATTAATTTTTTACAGGAAGGGAGAGGATAGAGAGCTAGAAACATCCATGAGAGAGAAACATCCATCAGCTGCCTCCTGCACACCCCCCACTGGGGATGTGCCTGCAACCAAGGTACATGCCCTTGACCGGAATCTAATCCGGGATTCTTCAGTCTGCAGGCCGACGCTCTATCCACTGAGCCAAACCGGTTTTGGTGGCTTTTGTTCTTTAAAGAACTGATAATTTTCAGTTTTATTTGGTGATTTTTATTTAGGAAGGGGAATGTGATTGATAGACCCTCAGGCAAAGCCTTTATACGGTTAAGAAGCATTTTCATCCGTATACTAGTTCAATTGTTTACACTCCCCCAGTATCTTCACAATATTACCTGAAACTGTTTGTTCTCACTACTTATTAATCTGCTCAAGAACAGGGAGCAGATTAATAATATAGGACAGTGCTAATTACATATGTGCTCTGGAAGAGATGTATTCTTCTCCAATACTTGAAGTGAGGCATTCTATAGTTGGGCCACAGTACTTGAAGCTATATATATATAATTGATTTCAGAAAGAAGGAAAAGGGAGAAACAGAAACATCAATAATGAGAGAGAATCATTGATCAGCTGCCTTCTTCACGTCCCCTGCTGGTGATGGAGCAGACAACCAGGGCATGTACCCCTGACCAGGAATCAATTGAACCTTGACCTCCTGGGTCATAGGTCAGTGCTTAACCACTGAGCCACATCAGCCAGGCAATCCACCTATATAATAAGAGGTACTATGCAAATTGACCATCACTCCATCACAAGATGGCTACCTACAATCAGATCGGCAGGGGAGTTACTGAGGGACGACCAAATGACTGAACAGCAGGCTGTGTGGGGTGACCAGGCCAGTGAGGGGGAGACTGTGAGGGGTAACTAGGTGTGCAGGGAGGGCATTTGAGGGTTACCAGGCCAGCAGAGGGGGGCAGTTAGGGGCAACCAGGCTGATGTGGTGGGGGTACATTTGGGGTTGACCAGGCCGGCAGAGGGGGGGCAATTAGGCTGGTAGGGGGGCAGTGAGGGGCAACTGGGCTGGCAAAGGGGGACAGTTGAGGGCAACCAGGCCAGCAGGGGGAGTTATTCAATTATTTCTATTGTAAAAGGCATTCAGTAACCAGGCCAGAAGGGGGGGGGCGGTTAGGAGCAACCAGGCCGGCAGGGAGGGGGCAGATGGGGGCGACCTGGCCAGCAGCGGGGGTGACCAGGCTGGCAGGGAGGGCAATTAGGGGCAATCAGGCTGGCAAGGGGGGCCAGTTAGGAGCAACCAGGCTAGCATGCAGAGGCAGTGAGGGGCAATCAGGTCGGTGGCAGGGGGCAGTTAGGGGATACCAGGCAGGTAGGCAGGTGAGCAATTAGGAACCAGAGGTCGTGGATTGTGAGAGGAATGTCCGACTGCTGTTTAGGGCCTAAACCAGCAGTTGGACATCCCTCAAGGGGTCCTGAATTGGAGAGGGTGCAGGCTGGGCAGAGGGGACCCTCCTGTGCATGAATTTTGTGCACCGAGCCTCTAGTTGTAGATATTTTTAAATTAATGATAATTTGAGATTTTTAAGATTTCAAATCTGATAGAAAAACAGAAGAAACGAATATTGATAAAGGATAGTACCTTATTTATTGTTATTACTTACCTTTGGATTTGGATTTTCTATGTAGTTTTCTCTATCTTAATTGTTTTTGCTTATAAATATATATTTTGCATATTAAATAGTTTTTATAGTGGCTATAATTTTATTCTGTCATTTTCTAATGAGGGGAGTGGTTAAATAACAGTAATACATCCCTCCCTCTTTTTTACACCTGCTCATTTTTCTTAGTCCTTAAAATACAAATTTTCATACCTCAGCAGTATAACTTTTTTTTAGTGTAAGTATACTAGCTAATTTGTTTTGGAATATTTGTATGAAAAAATTTTTGTTTAAAAAATTTAAAGCTTTATAAAATTACTTCCATGTAATTGATATTCAGTGACCTTAAGAGGCAGTGTCCTCTGAAACTTTGTTTATGTATTTAATGATGAAAACCTTTTTAGTCATTTCCTATTTGCAGGCACCATTCTATAAACACAGATGAGAGGATCTAACTGAATATGGAAATGTGATCAAAGTTTGTAATACTTTTTTTTTTTTTTTTAACATATTTTTAATCATTTCAGAGAGGAAAGGAGAGGGGGAGAGAGAGAAAAACATCAATGATGAGAATAATTGATTGGCTGCCTCCTGCATGCCCCCTATTGGGGATGGAGCCTGCACCCTGTGGTCAATGTACTCTTGACCACAATCAAACCCAGGACCCTTCAGTCCTCATGCTGATATTTTATTCACTGAATTAAACCATCTATGCCCTAGATCAGTGATTCTCAACCTTTCTAATGTCGCGACCCTTTAATACAGTTCCTCATGTTGTGGTGACCCCCAACCATAAAACTATTTTCTTTGCTATTTCATAACTGGAATCCATTGGAAAACATAGATATTTATATTACGATTCATTAACAGTAGCAAAAGAAGTGATGGGTAGTAAGTTTGAGAGGAGCTTTGGATCACATTGGCAAAGTGGAGGAGAAGTTGATTGGAATATGTCTTGGCAGGGAGAATGGTTGAGTGATGATAGATCATAAGATCTATATTGTATTCCCAAAGAAGGAAATTCAATAAAACTTTTATTGATTGGAAGAAGATGGATGGGTTAAGGGACTAGCAGTAGCAATTTAATGGAAGAGCAATGGATTTGGGGAGTGAGAGAATTAGAAGGTTAGGGGTTGGGACAATAATGGGACATTGAATTTTAGAATACCAAGTAGTGTTACACTAGAGGATGA